GCCCCAAAGCCCACACCTCTGCAACGCCAATGCTCCTTCTGTGACTAGGATAACTAGGATAATCGCTGTGTACAGAGCAGGTCTCTCTCTGTGTGCAGCACTCAGGTATATGATTCACACACAGAGTGGGAAGGTGTCAGGTGGCAGAGAATAGAAAGGGGGTGGAAAAGGGATTTTAAAAAAGTCTGTCTGCGCATACATCAGTGTTTGTCTTTCATAAATATTTCAAAGGGTAAAGAGGAATTCCTGGGGTTTTTACGTATTGTTTTTTTGTTTTCTTTGTTTTTTAACATTTGTTATAAACAATAATTTAATGTGAATGGCAACATTTAGGCAAAAATAGCTAATTTGGAAAAGTTCTCCAACTGTCTCAGCTTCATACACTCCAACATTGTTGTCCTGTTAAAGGGATCCTATAGTGCCAGGAAAACAAAGCCGTTTTCCTGGCACTGTAGGCTCTTGGAGTGCCCCCCTCCCTCAGCACTGAAGGGGTTAAAACCCTTCCGCCACTTACCTTAATCCAGGGCCAGAGGCACGAGCGCATTCAAACCCACCCATATGAAAGCATTACTCAATGCCTTCCTATGGACGTCCAGTGTGAGTTCAATGCGATTTTCACACTGAGAATCACGGATTCAGCCTCTAGTGGCTGTCAGGGAGACAGCCACTAGAGGCTGGATTAACCCTCACTGTAAACATAGCAGTTTCTCTGAAACTGCTATGTTTTCAGCTGCAGGGTTAGAACTAGGGGGACCTGGCACCCATACCACTTCATTGAGCTGAAGTGGTCTGGGTGCCTATAGTGGTCCTTTAAGGGTGATTCCGGTGGGCAGGGTAATAGGTGGAGGGCAAGTGATGTGTTGTAAAATCTTTTCATTGAAAGATATAAAAGATAATATACATACAAAGGATAAAGTATGCTTTAGCGCGTATAAACAGTAAATATATGTTCTCACACTAACTGTATGATACATAATGTGAAATAAAGGTTTTCATGTAGATAAAGCATTTTTTGTATCGGGAGAAGATTTTTTTTTTTAAACTAGTTAATATTTCTTATAAACAGAAAGAGACCCAAATTCAATTGTTCAATAAGGTAGGGGGAGAAAAAATTGTGGGATTGGGAACAAATCCGAATGAGCAAAGTGTGTGGTTACATTACTCTTGAGATCAGGGTATTAAAACGTAAAAAAGTAGGACACAATATTACTAATCCCTCTTAAAATCAGGATATTAAAACCTATAAAAGTATAAAATTTTGTTCTGAATGCCGGGGCGTTCTGCTTCACCATAGAGTTAATAAACACGTAATGAGTTGTAGATAGGAGTGCGCATAGAGAAGAAGACTCCAGGACTGTTCCCAGTGCAACCAGCGTTGAACGATTAGAAAGCTCTGGCCTCTATTTGCAGCTATTAAAGATTCAATCAAATGAACCTCCCTTATCCCTGAAAAAAATATACAGCCCAACTTGCAAAGAATGAGGCAAGTAGAACCCTATACACAAAAAGCATATATTGCCGGACCTTAGAGTGGATGGACGGGCTTAACTTTTAAGGAAAGTATAGGATAGACCAGGGATAGGCAATCTTCGGCACTCCAGATGTCGTGGACTACATCCCCCATAATGCTCTTAAGCCCATAATACTGGCAAAGCATCATGGGAGGTGTAGTCCAAAACATCTGGACTGACGACGGTTGCCTATGCCTGGGATAGACAGATAAACTAGTAAAACAGAGCCAAGGGTCAGAGATACCACAATACAGACTAAACCTTTAACAAAGCCAAGTCAGAAACCAGAAATGCAAGGAATTAAGGAACGCATTCTTGGGCTACTAACAACCACGACAAGGCAATGAAGAGAGGTCACAAGAGCTACTTAAAGTAACCATATGGCCTCTGATTGATATGCACATGTGATGCCAAAACAAATGCGGCACGGGATGTGTAGGCATATAAAACTGGCAAGGCAGTAAGGCACCAACACAAGACGTTTTTTTTTCTTTCTCTTTCCTTTATATATGAATAACTTCCATAAAGTTAAGAGGACAGATATCTAACATTTACATGGATAAAAATGAGTATATCATAATGAGTCTATGACTCTTTATGGTCATGTTGGATTGTAATTTTAGTGTGTTATAGGAGCAATATTCTATAAGACTATTAGGTCTTCATGAACAGATTTCATATTATGTATTCACATATATACATGTATTTTTATGTTTGTATATTCCCCCTGGATTTCTGTACCCTTTATAAAAAAAAAATTATAAAATCTTAATAAAGATGAAATTAACACTGTACCTCTGATATGCATGTGCTTTCTGGGGACAGTTCCCTAGGGAAAAAAATCAGGACAGGTCTTTAAAACATGGACTATCCTGTTGAAATCAGGACCATTGAAAGGCACGCAAATATGCTATTTTAATCTGAATTTTGTGATAAATTTTTTATTTTATTTATGCATCAGTCAAAGTTTAGTAAATGTCAGGGTACCTGTTGGTGCTGAATCCAGGGAAGACATCCTCTCTGTTTAGGGGCTCCCTGCCCCTAGCATTTCGGCATATTCCGGCCGTTTTCGCGCCGGCCGCGCTAGCTCCTCCCCCTTTTATGACGCGACGGCTAGCGTCGACGTCATGACGTCGGCATTTACATAAAGTGCCGGGAACCGCTATTCCGGACCTTTTGGGGGCGTGGTCTCTATTTAGGTAACAGGGTATTTAAAGGAAACCTTTACTACTGCTCATTGCCCTGTCGTGGTTCTAGCTTGCTAGTCACTCAGCGCGTTCTTTATCTTGTGTTTCCGGTTTTGACCCTTGCTTGTCTTTTATCCTGTTGTCCTCTCCTCTCCTTTGACTCGGCTTGTATCTCGCTTACCTGTCCTCCGGCTCCCTCGACCTCGGCTTACCTTTTGACTATTCTTGCTTTGTCCCTACGTTAGTCCGGCCATTCTAAGGTCCGGTATACGTACCTCCTTCTGTCCGCACTCTGCGTATTGGATCCCTGTCAGTATCCTGACAGTAAAAGTATAGCAGTTTGCAGCGCATGAAGACAAAGCCTATGTAGGCATTAAAATAAAGCACCCTAGTAGTAGCGAATATATGCACAAACGAACAGGATATGTCTCTAGGGCCTGCTCAAACAACGCTTAGACAGGTGACAATAAATCACAAACCGGAGCAGTCATAAAATGCAGGATTTGGCATGACCGAATAAGAAATCATAAGAATTGTACGGTCATGTAAGGGTTTGGAGAATGAGCAAAGCGATTAAAGAAAACTCTTTATGCAACCTTGAATATATGCATAATTCGCCATTACCATTAGTTTAAAACAATGAAAATATAGCCTGTGTGTGACTAAACAATAAGCAGGCAACACCGCAGTGTATAAGCCGATGCGAACATAGGGATTTGTGGGTCACTGCCACTTTAAACAAATGTTATCAAACAAATAGAGCCGACCATACTGATGGAAAACAAAGATCTGAGTCGCCCTGGAGAGGACAGTCATATAACAGTCAGCATTACTTTGCAAAATAGCTCAATAAAAAGTGCCTAACGAGAAAGAAGTGGGAAAAAAAAAACACATTTGCTAGAGTTGTGGTATAGCGATCTAATATTAAAGGAACACTATAGCGTTAGGAATACATAACTCATAATTCAGCCCATCTCTGTAGGTAAGCAATCTCTTCTATGCCGCCACCACCTGGCAGACAAGGTTACATACAGCCATTCCTGAAATATTGAGGTGGCATTACGTCCTGTCTGGGCCCTTACGATCTGCTGAAGACTTAAGTCTATCTTCTGTCTGTACTCCCACCTCTGATGCTCGCCTTCAAGATTTCTCAAGGGCTGCACTGTTCCTGTGGAACTCGCTTCCCTCCTCCGTTAGATGCTCACCCAGTCTCCACTCCTTCAAAAAATCGTTAAAAAGCCACTTCTTCATAAAAGCGTATCAATTAAACTGTTAATAGCTCCTGACTGATTCCTCTTCTGCAACTGTCACTAGTCTAATACTATCCTTACCTTTTTGTGTAATTTTACCCCACTCCCTCTAGCATGTAAGCTCATTGAGCAGGGCCCTCAACCCCTCTGTTCCTGTGTGTCCAACTTGTCTGGTTACAACTACATGTCTGTTCGTCCACCCATTGTAAAGTGCTGCGGAATTTGACGGCGCTCTATAAATATCATAATAATAATAAAGTCCTCATCCATATCGGCCACCCAAATTGTGATCAAAGCATTGACTTATGGGCTGGGATAACCCCCACCAGCCGGGGCGAGGGAAGTGGAGCCGGACCACCAGCCTTCTCAAACGTCTGACATTACGTCTCCGCGATCAGCAGCTCTAAGCTGCCAGTTTCGTACCATAACGAAAGGCCTGAAGACTGTGCCAGCGGTGACATACAGCAATCTGATCTGAACCGAGATCAATAGGTAGTCATGGAGTTCCCCCATATCATTTTGAGAGCTTCTCGGGCATTTATGAGCTCTGTGAGCACGATAGTAGCCGTCTTGGGGGTCTCGATATTGGAGCCAACGAAAATGGGTCCCACTCAGCCCGGAGTCCTGGACTAACCCCTAGTCTGAATTTTGCTATTTATATTTCAGTTTGCAATTAGGAATTTAGTGAATGTAAAATATATTAACATTTTGCTATCTTGACCTAAAATTTGAACTTCACTTTGGCAATTCTTATTTTAGTGAATAACTGTTTATGGGTTAGCTGACAATTATGGTTTAAACAACTCACAGACTTCCATATAAAACTCAGCATTCTAACCGTGGATATAACTGAACTACCAATCATTGGCAAGCCACAAAAAACAAAAAAAAGCCAGGAAGTTAATGATTTGCATGCATTTTGCACAATCATAGCTCCCATACACCTTTGGCCTCATGTAGCAAACGTCACTACTATCAAAGTTCACTGCTCAGCCAATCACAACGCGAGGGGCGTTAACCACACGCCGCCCCTTCCCACTCAGTATGGAGCGCGTCATGCTGGCTGAGACGGTCAGATGTCGGAAGCCCCGCCCATTGCACTACCGTATATGGTGTATAGCGGGCGATTCTTAAAGGGACCGCTGCAGCACGCCTCCTCTTCTTCTCTTACCAGCCAGGTTGCATGCTGTGTAATCTTCCTCCTCTGAACAATGTCTGACAAACTCACCTACAAAGTTGGTAAGCGCTGCAATGCAAGCTTATAGGCTGTATCACTGCACCTCTGCAGCTTTTAAAAAGAAAAAAAAAATATTTTTTATTACCATTTAAATTTTAGCCATGAAATATCCTCCCATGCTTCCTTACCATGCTTTCTCCCTTGCAGACAGACTGTATTCCCATTAAAGCAACAGTTTGGTTATTCTCATAAGGATTAAGAATGCAACATTTATAGAATGTTGGGTTCCTTACCATTCTGTAGGAGACTTACTTATTTATTTATATATACACACCCACCACGTTATCTTACAAGTCTTTGGTTCTTGTTTTTTGCTGTTATTAATGCATGTAATCAAGAAATATGACCCATTAACAGGTTAAACTGTGTTGTGTGGTTTTTATTTTAATATAATAGTGGGGTGATGAGATTTCTCTATCCAGCAAACCAGGGATGGTACAGCACACATGTTTATATGGGTTTAGCAGTTGTATTCAATTTAAATGAGTAATGCAGCTGTTGCATCCTTTCAAGCACCTGTCAGGCAACCTGCTTTTAAAATCTCACTGTATTATCCAATGCAGGAGTGCAGGCTAAGCAGCCCACGTTAAAAAAAAAAAAAAAGCTTTATGTTGTATATCTGATTATTGCTTACTCACTGTGCAATGTATGATCTGATTATTTTGTTCCCTCTGTCTCTGTTGTATAACAGGTTGTATGTGCCCTAAAGCCAGGGATCTTACACAATTAAGGCCACGTTAAAATCCCTATCGATCAGCATGCTTCTTTTTTTTCACCCAGCTCAGCATGACCGAGGTTTCTGGGGGATGTAGTTTCTATGTTGGAATGCCTAGTGAAATTCTATAGACATGGGAACTACAACTCCCGGCAGGCACCGAGGGCAGGCAGCTGTCACATGTAAGAGGAGGTGACAGGCTGACAGAAGCCAGACAGACTTGCAAGGCAGCTAATCAGAGCAGCTCTATGGGGGGAACAAAAACTATACAGTATCCTGTTTTATATGAATTAAATAGACTCATTCAATGTGAGCATTTAACCATGTATTAGGGTGTTTGCCACTATCTGACATTTAAAGTTAAAATAAATCTAAGGATATTTTGCAGCTGATAAATCTGTTATTTTAATAAAAAAAAATATATATATATATATATATATATATATATATATATATATATATATATATATATATATATATATATATATATATATTTTTTTTTTAATTAATTAATTAAATATCCACCAATTTACGCCTTTCCACATATGATATTATCAGAACATCTCCGTATATATCCCACATGCATGAGGTTTACAGGTCCACCATGTTGTGTGTTTATTTTTAATTTATTTTGTTTTTGGTAGTGTTGACTGTGAATGCGTAAAACGTCCTCCCATGGAAAAGGTGTAATTCAAATACTGCAAATGAAAATTGTAGAGTGTTATTCACTAAAGTGTAACATGTCAGGAATTCAATGTAGTTTTGAACTTGTTTGAATTATTACCATTTGTGTTGTGCTGCGTATGCCATACATTCTCCCCTAATTGTACAGCTCTGTGAAATATGTTGGCGCGTTATAGATGCCAGTAATAAAATCAATCCATAAAATGTTTGTTTTCTGCACCATTCATCCAGTAATGCAGTGGCTGATCCTCTTATTCAACCCAACGCTTCTAATAACAAAAGTATTGGGGACTTACTGGGCATCTTCTCAGCCAATTGGATGCTTCTCATGCAGAGCACTAAATCCAATGCTTCTCTTTATAAATAAATTAATAATAAAATAAAAAAATACAAGTATTTTTTACGAAGGCACCAAAGGAAGGTTTTCAATTTGCCATCCGAGCGAGCATCCAGACAAATGTAAACATTGCGGTTTTGTTATAGAGGCATCAATGTTTACATTTATCAGACTGCAGGGAAAGGGTCTATGCACCAAAACCACTGCATGTAGATTTTACCACATACTCTAGATGTAGTGGGTTTTATTGATTGATGTCGTTTATAAACTGCTTCCAGCATATCCCACTGTGGTCTCTGTTTCACAAGGTTTAAAGGGACACCGTAGGCACTGTATCTGCTTCATCTCATTAAACTGGTTATAGTGTCTGGAGTCCTCTGGTACCATCATTTCTTTCAGCGTTAAACCGTTTTTAACGCTAAACGAGAGTCCCCAGCAGTCCATCCCCTCTGATGCTATGGCTTATGAGGAGGTATTAGCCTGGACAGCAATGGGCAGCTGTGATTGGCTGAGAGTGTCAGCTGACTGCTTTTATCCTGTCAGAGCTCCAACTGACGGTATGACCACAAGGAATTGTGTAATCTCTGCCTTAGCTACCAATACAGAAAGGGCCGGACTGTGGGTGGCCAGGGACTCTTTTATTTTGTAGCATACTGCACAAATATGGTACAACACTGAATGGAGGGACGGTGCCAGGGCACTCCAGGCAGTGTAACCAAATCAAAGAGACAAAAATGGTTATAGTAACTAAAGTATCCCTTTAATCCCCGAAGCAGTGGTGTTTTGTAATTATGTAAAAAAGTATTTTTTTTGAAAAGTGTTCTAATACACTAAAAGAGAAGCAGTCGCCATGGAAACCAGTGGAACTAGCAGGCTTATTGTATTAGTAACTGTCACTTTTCCACATTTGCACCAATTTTAAAGAGACAATTTTTGTATATAAAAATTGTTAAATAAATGTATAAACTCTAATATATCTTACGTTCTGACTGAAAGAAGAAACTGCTTCCAGAAAGTGCACTCCAACCCTCCTTTTGTAAAATACAAAATCTATCTTGAATGAGTGTGTGACAAAATCACAACCTGAGAGTCAAAGGAACAGGTTGAAGAAGAAGGGAGGAAAACGGTTTAATGCATTTGTCTGCTCGCTTTAAGCTGTGTATAGTTAGTAACCATTTGCTGAAATATTGCTTCGAATCCTGAGCAGGTTCACTCCCTTGATTACATGCCCATTGCTGCACAAAACGTTTAATTGTACAAATGCTGACATTGTCTGCTCCTTCCAGCTGACATCAGCCTGGCAGAATGGGGCCGGAAGTCGATTGAGATTGCGGAGAATGAGATGCCCGGATTAATGAAGATGAGGGAAATGTACTCTGAGACCAAGCCTCTGAAAGGAGCAAGGATTGCTGGGTGCCTCCACATGACGCTCCAGACCGCAGTGCTTATAGAGACTCTCACGGCACTCGGAGCTGAGGTAATGTCTGTGATCTTGCAGTTTTTTTGTGTACACCGTAAAGTCTGCAATAAGTTTGGCAATTATGTCTGGTAAACAATAACTGCTTGGTATCAGCTAAATTAGCGATCTAGTATCATGAAGAGTGCAGCCAAGGTATACTGCCCTTACTCCATGATGCACTTGGGTATCTGCTTCCAAAGTGCCTTCCAAGAACATGTGCACTCAGACGTTCCTCCTATAATGTCCGCACAGCTACTCTCATTAAGGGTGTTGAAATAATTTGGATCGTATGTGGATGTGCTTTGTAAATTCAAAAATAAAATGTTGGGTAAATCAAACATGTAGCTCATTCTGCAACTTACCGTTGGTTTTATATTCTGTATGCAAAAATCCTGGTCTGGGTACAGTGTCCCTGTCCTTCTAACCATTTTTAGAAAGAATCTGCAGTGTTTACATGGCTCTCAGTAAAACTTGTTTGTGATGTGGAAGCCACCGTTAAAAAGCATCGATTCAATGCTTTTGTGTGGGAAAACTCGATTGCACACTATGCGAATGCACAATAGGTCCCTCAGTGCTACGCTATGAGGAGCCTTGAATTGGACTATAGTGGTGGAGACCATGCCTCTTCCATGATGTCACATGAGGTGGAGAGTTAAGTCTTCCCCATGTAGTCTCCGTGCTGGAAATTAATTTTTTTTTTTTAAATATATATATATATATATATATATATATATATATATATATATATATATATATATATATATATATATATATATATATATATATAAATATATAATTTTTTTTTTTTTTTTTATATTACAGGCAGGAGGGGTGAGTCTGTGTGATTTTTGGGGACAGGAGCACAATAATTAATGCTATCATGTTCCTTTATTAACCTAACAGTTGAGAAAAATGATGGCAATTAATGACATACATATGTATTAAAGGTCATTTTAACATGAATTTTATCTATACGCTGTGCTGGCAGGATGATTAGTGAATGTACAGATAGCTAATCATAAAGCAAAATAATCAAGGTCAGAACAATTGCTTAATAGACTTGCAGAAACAGACCTTTTTTGTTCTTTTTCAACTATCATAACAAGGGCTGCTTAAAATACTAGTTGAACAGATTATCATAAAATGTAAACTTTCTGACTGCACACTAATTTTGCTAAGTCACATTTTGTATTTAGGAGTTTGCAATCTTACTAGGAAAAAGTACAATACAGAATAGATTATAGCATATGCAGGCTGAGCATATAGCTTACTAGCAGCTAAACACCTGGAACTGGACATATGGTGACAATTTATATTAAAATGTTTTTAATCTGTTTCCTTCCAGTTTTGGGTTTTCTGTAACACTCAGGGTTGAAGTAGCAGTTATAACTTAAAATCCAGCTGGTCAAACATAAAGGAAACTCTAGATCTGGGGTTCCCAATTAATTTTTCCTGTGGAACCCTTTGACAGTGTATCCACATTGTGGAAACAACCCCCCTCCCCCTGTGGTTTTTTTTTTATTTTTATTTTTTTGTGTATGTGCTGGTGTGTCACGGCCATTTTGTTTCCTGAAATTTTGGCGGAACAGCAACTGGGGGAAACGCTGCCTTAGATGAAATGTCAGGAAATTCTTGTTAACTTGGCGTGTGTGTGTGTGTGTATGTGTATATATGTGTGTGTGTGTATATATATATATATAATTTTTCGTATTCTGCGTAAACAATAGTGCAAAGGCGCTGCCAACATATGGCGGTTGTTAAAATATTGTGCAAAAACACAATAGTACAGAAGAGCCCTATGACAAGGCAGAATCCCTTTGGTTACCAAAGCTAAAGAAGAGAGTGAAACTGAAAGGGGGAAAGGAAATATATGGATCTGAAAGCCAAGACAGAAGGAGGGCCAGCAAGCTTCCCCTTGCTCTGGTGCCAGTCTCTCGCAACCAAAGTGTTCATTGTTTAAATAGTCAAACCATGGGGACCACCATCTTATTTCGAATAGTTTCATAAAGATACTCATTGACTGTTGGTATTCCATAAAAATTCAAACACAGTCAAGATACCTAATTTGTCTTGTAAGAAATTTTTGATTTAAACATTCCTTTTTTTTAATTTATTTATTTTTTAATATAAGCATTCACACTACACTTTATTGTCCACAAAGGGATTTAAGCAAAGTAAGTTTTATTCTCATTTAAGTAGTTCCATGCATTTACTTCAAACCGCTTAGTATCTAGATATATCCACTTAAGTATACCTCACCATTAGACGGGCTTGGTTGTCGCCTCACTGCACAGGACTGGGGGAACTCAAGCAGTCAGGTTCGGAGAGACCCTCTCTTCTGAGAACAGCAGAAACCAGTAACACGCATCCACATTACAGGTGGGTAGTTCTCCAAGTGAGAGCAAGATTCTCTTAGTCTTATATACCTGTCTTCAAGTACAGTCAGTAGTTCCTTATCAGTGCAGCCCAGCAAAATACCTTGATACAAGCGGCTGGATGGACCTAGCAGTTGGCCAGACTGTTCAGGACCACCAGAACTCATGCCAAGTCTTGTGCGGTTAATTAGCACTTATATACAAGCTTTCTTTGTACTGTTCTAGAGATGGCAACATAAGTTGTTTGTGTGTTTTTTTTGTTTTTTTTTTGTTTTTTTTATGGCAACATAAGTTTCTCAAACTCCTGAAGTGCTGTCCGGTTATAGTGCTGTGTCAGCTTATTTTTTTTTTTTAATTCTTTATTTTTCATGTGCTCAGATTAACAGCAAGCACGCAGAGCCAAGACCGCTTCTGCACGTATTTTCCTAACATTTTGCAGTGTAGACGGCACTTTTTTAATTTTATTTTATAGAACATGAGGAATACAGACAGTTTAACATAAAGGTAATATAGATTAGCATGCTAGACCGAACGTACATTTGACATGGCTAGTAGCGCTGAGGTTTGTAAGTCGAAGGCATTTCAGGTGCGAGAAAACTACATGCTATACCGATTAACATTTCTTAGGTTAGGTCCTTGAACGTCTGATTAAGGTGCACATTTTAAAGGATAAAATAATAATCATGAGACACAGGCTAGCCATTTTCGATAGATCTAAGATGAGAAACAAAACTGAGTCCTGGCTAGCATAACTTATTATTACTGGCTGGTTGCCAGCAAGGCTAGTCAGACAAGCTAGTCTAAAGCAGCGATTATGACATTACTTGCTAAACACGGACATGCTAGATCTTGCTAAGTGAAACAGTTGAGTGACAGTTGTAAAAATTACGATTTGTGTGAAATATAAAAAAAATGATTCTAGTGACTACCTATCAGTCGCTATGTAGTTGGGTGCCCAGCGGATGAATTAACGTTGAGATATTAGTCAGGCTAGGTAACTGGTGGGATGTAAAATTAAAGTAATAACAAAACATGCATGGTTTATCATATGAGCTTGACATTGTTAAACTTTCACGGGTCAGCTGTAAAACACTGTGATGAAACAACATGTCTACTCAATTGTAACAGTGATAACATTCCTTATTTTTGTGTTTTTGAAAGATTATACAGTTGGTGTATGTGCACTGATAAAACAGATTGTTACAGAAATGGAATAAACAAACAGGAAGGGTTCGTAACAATGTAACAGACTAGAATAGAGTATGATATGTTGCATAGTCCTTTCGAGGTTAGATGGCAATCAGTCAGTGTATTATGTAGGCTTTGGCTCAAGTTAAAAGTGTACAGCTTTATGACTGGACTGTGCAGCTTGGTTTAACATGTCGAGGAACAATTAAGCTGGGTTAGGTATGACTAGGTTTGATAGCTTTTGTGTATTTGTCTTGTCCACTTGTGGACGGTGGTGTGCTTGCTTCCGTTCACCTTGTATCAGGTATCTCTGTGCTGGGCCCCATTTTGGGTGTGAAGACGGGCCATGTATTCCATTGTGTTGGTTTATATTCATTCTGGTGTTGTCTGTGGGCTTTTGGTTGATTTATGAGGAGTGTGGGAAGGGCCCTTGGGGGTCATGCCATGATGCTGGGAGGATGTTCCCCTGGAGGCCATTTTTTCTAGGTGCCGTCCTGGCGTTAGTCTTGTGTCTACAGTACTTTTTGGTTATGTTGAGTGCTCTCACCCAAAGGTTTGGAATGGCCTGGGGAGCGATCTGTTAGTCATTGTTGTGTATTCCTCTTTTTAATAAAAACAAGGCATTTATGTTGACATCTTGGACGAAATTGCTGAGTGGAAGGGGAGATGTCCAACTTGGCAGGTGGTTGTTGTTGTTAATAATAATTATCACCACCATTTATATAGCGCCAACAGATTCCGTAGTGCTTAACTATAAATAGGACAATTACAAGAAAACTTACAGGAACGATAGGTTGAAGAGGACCCTGCTCAAACGAGCTTACAGTCTATACGAGGTGGGTTATAAGACACGTTAGGACAGGAAATATGAATCAAAGAGGGTGGGAGTGAAGCAGAGCTATAGGAGAGAGTAAAGTGCTGCCCTTTAGGAGAGAGCAAGAGACAGGTATGTGAGGTAGAGGTTACTCTGGGAGGCCATAAGCTTTCCTGAAGAGATGGGTTTTTAGGCTCTTCTTAAATGATTGAAGACTAGGGGAGAGTCTGATGGCGGTAGGCAGGCTATTCCATAGGAAAGGAGCCACCTGCGAGCGGTCCTGCAAGTGCGAGTTGGCCGTACGGGTGTGAGCAGCGGTCAGGAGGTGGTCACGGGCAGAGCGGAGGGAACGAGGAGGGGCATACTTCTGGATCATTGAGGAGATATAAGAGGGGCTAGAATTGTCCAGTGCTTTAAATGTATGGGTTAGCACTTTGAATTGACTCCTATAGGATACAGGGAGACCATGTAAGGACTGGCAGAGGGGTGATGTGTGAGAGGACCGACTAGAGAGGAAAATCAGACTAGCTGCAGCATTCATTAGACTGTAGCTTTTGGGGAGACCCCTCAGGAGAGGGTTATAGTAATCCATGCGGGAAATTACTAGAGCATGGACACGCTCTTTGGTTGCATCTTGTGTAAGAAAGGGGCGGATGCAGGCTATGTTTTTGAGTTGGAACCTACAGGATTTGGCAACAAACTGGATGTGAGGTTTAAAGGTGAGACCAGAGTCAAGTATGACGTCAAGACAGCGTGCTTGCAAGGATGGACTTATGTGGATATCACTGACTTGAAGGGAGAGCGAGAGAGGAGGATCAGTATTAGGAGGAGGAAAGACAATGAGTTCAGTTTTAGAGAGATTGTGTTTCAGAAAGCGTGAGGACATCGTCAGAAATGGAAGAAAGGCAAGCAGTGACACGTTGCAGGATGGCAGGGGAGAGGTCCGGGGAGGAGAGGTATATCTGAGTGTCATCAACGTACAGGTGGTAGTTGAAGCCAAAAGAGGCAATAAGCTTGCCAAGAGAGGCAGTATAAAGAGAAAATAGAATGGACCAAGGACCGAGCCTTGGGGAACTCCAACCGAGACAGGACGAGGGGAGGAGGTATGCTTGGTAAAGGAGACACTGAATGAGCGTTGGGAGAGATAGGAGGAAAATCAAGAGAGGACAGAGACCGAGTGATTGAAGAGTTTGATGGAGGAGAGCATGATCAACGGTGTCAAAGGCAGCAGAGAGGTCAAGGAGAATTAATATGGAGTAGTGACCTTTTGGATTTAGCTGCGATTTAGGTCATTAGTGACTTTGAGAGCAGTCTCAGTAGAGTGGAGAGGGCGGAAGCCAGACTGAAGAGGGTCAAGGAGAGAGTTGGAATCGAGGAAGCAAGACACACGGGTAAAGACAAGTCTTTCCAAAAGCTTTGAGAAAGGGAGCAGGGATATTGGATGATAGTTAGAGGGGAAGGGTGTGGTGTGTGTGTGTGTGTTTTTTTTTTTGTTTTTTTTTAATCAGGATAGGTACTACAGTGGCATGTTTAAGGTCAGCAGGAACAGTGCCAGAAGAGAGAAGTTAAAGATGTGTGTTAGGGTAGGCACAAGACAAGGGGCGAGAGATCTGATGAGGTGGGATGGGACTGGATCGAGCGGGCAAGTGGTGGGGCGAGAGGAATGGAGAAGCGCAGCTACCTCTTGTTCAATAGTTTCTATATTGTAAGGGGCCCAGGCTCTGCTTATGTCAAGTCCTGCAGGGATGTGTGCTGTGAGTCCTGGGTGTAGCTGTTTCAATATTGTAAGGGGCCCAGGCTCTGCTTATGGCAAGTCCAATAAAATATTATGTTCATCTATTGTGGCTTACATTTTTCAAGCCTGTTATAGGTTCATTGCAAATCACTGTTTGCTGAATTGGCACTGCTTTTTAAGATTAAATATTGACTTTATATTTTGCAGCGTTTATTTTTATGAAAATGTTGTTTGTGGTTTTTTTTTTTGTTTGTTTTTTTATACCATGTTCACAAAGTCCATCGCAAACTTGCAATTATACTTGTTTGCTCTGTTGACCATTAACCCTATAACGTGACATGCCAGCTTACAACTTTAAAGATATAGTTGTGATAGTGACGAATGGGACTTCTTTAACTGAGTGCTTCACTATCTCTCATCATCTTCTTGCAGGTGCAGTGGTCCAGCTGTAACATCTTCTCCACACAGGATCATGCAGCAGCAGCTATTGCAAAAACTGGCGTCCCAGGTAGCAATCAGTCTATTTATTCCTAAAGTATACTGAGGTCAGAGGTGACTGTATTCATTTTATTTTGGTAAAATAACTTTGCAGCCAGTCCCCCTACCCTTTCCTAGGCATTTGAGTATAAAAAAATAACAGTATGTCCAAACCTTTGACCTGGAGGCACTTTTATATGTCACCCTCTAAGGCTCTTGATATATGATGTAATTAAAGGAACACTATAGGGTCAGGAACATAAACCTGTATTCCTGACCCTATCGTGTTAAAACCACCATCTAGCCCCCCTGCCCTCTCCTAAATATAGTAAAATAGCACTTGTATTCCAGTCTGATATGCCTGCTTGGCTGACATCATCAGAAGTGATTCTCTGAGCCAATCACAATACTTTTATAGGATTGACTGAGACCCTCAAGGAGGCAGATCAGAGCCAGCACAAGCCAAAACACAGCCCTGGCAAATCAGTATCTTCTCATAGAGATGCATTGAATCCATGTATCTCTATGAGGAAATTTCAGTATATTCATGCAGAGGGTGGAGATACTGAACGGCAGTACTGCACAGTGTGCAGCACTGCCCCAGGAAGAACCTCTAGTAGGCATCTGAGGAGTGGCCAGTGGAGGTATCACTAGGCTGTAATGTAAACACTGCCTTTTCTCTGAAAAGACAGTGTTTACTGCAAAAAGCCTGAAGGGAATGATTACACCCACCAGAACAAATACAATAAGCTGCAGTTGTTTTGGTGACTAGAGTGTCCCTTTAAATACATTTTCAAGGCAAACGTTGATTTCTAGGGACTTCAGTAAAGGAGCTGAATGGGGACAAGCAGATAGGAAAAGTCTAAAAATGGAAAAATGGTCAGTTGAGGGTAAACAAAGTAGGACTGGATGGTGAAATGAAAATGGTGTCAGAGGCGGCTCTCTTTAGGCGGCCGCATAAGGCCTCGCGGCCTCCTAAATCACCTTTGGGCAGAGGGGGCTCAGCGGTTTGCCCATAATGCCGCCGGGTGCATGGTCCCTCACATCTGCCCAGAGAGCCAGCCTTCAGTCTACAGCTCCGCTGGGTGTGAGCTGGAGACTGAAGTGTCTCGCGGTCCTCAGCCAATCAGAGCGTTGCCGCAGGTTACCACAACCCTCCTTCCCTCACTGCCGCTTGCTGCCTGCCACCCCTACTTCCCTTACTGCCGCCTGTCACCCCCTCCTTCCCTTAATGCGACAGGGTAAGTGTGGCACGGTTGGAAGAGGGAGTGTGACAGGAAGAGGAGTGGTGAGCTTGACAATGTGTGTAACAGGATTAGGGGGGTTAATGTGATAGGGTGAGTGGCAGAGCGAGGGGAGAGGAGTGCGGTTTGGTTGGAGGGGGTAAGTGTGACAGGATCAGGAGGGGTTAGTGTGTGTGTGTGTGTGTGTGTGGAGATGGTGAGAGGGTGGCAGTGAGGGAAGGAGGGGGTGACAGGTGGTAGTGCTAGGGAAGGAGGGGGTGACAGGTGGTAGTGCTAGGGAAGGAGAGGATGACATGGGTCAGTGTTGGAGAAGGAGGGAGAGACAGGTGGCAGTGTGTGGGAAGGAGGGAGAGACAGTGAGGGATAGGAGGGGCTGCCACCTGTCTCCCCCTCGTACCCTCACGCTGCCACCCTCTTACCATCCTCTAACACACACAGTCACCCCCTTAACCCTGCCACACTCACATTAACCCCTCCTGATCTTGTCACACTTACCCCCTCCAACCAAACCGCACTCACCTCCCCTCGCTCTGCCACACTCACCTTATCAAATTAACCCCCCAATCCTGTTACTCACCTTTTCTCACTGTCACGCTCCCTCTTCCAACCGTGCCACTCTTACCCTGTCGCATTAACACCTCTAATCCTGTCACACTCACCCTGTCAATTAACCCCCTGAAAATAAACCTCACATTCACCTCCCCTTTCCCCATCACACTCACTCTGCCAACCAATGCCACATTCACCCAATCCTGTGATACTCATCTCCCCAACCATGCCATATTCACCCTGTCACATTAACAATTAAATCCTGTAATACTTACCTCCACTCACCCTGTAACATCCCCTCCTCCAACCATGTCACACTTGCTCTTCTTTATTCTTTCCACTAACATCCCAACCCTGTCTCATTCACCCCTTCGTCCCGTCACACTCACCCTGCCACAGATGCCAATTTATTCACAGAAACATACAAGAATACTCGCTGTAAGACACACACGCTCAAGCACATATACAGGTAGACAATGCCAGACACACTCAGAAATACACACAGGCAGATATACACATTGTGACTGACTGTATGTATGTATTGGTCAATATTTTTGTCTCTGCATCAGTGTGTGTGAATGCATGTGCATGTATTAGAGTTTTATATGTGTGCATGTATTAGTGTGTCTCTGCCTGCAATGTGAGGGTGGTATGGTATAGGTTGTGCAAAGGTAAAGTTGAAAGCAACATATACCGTATATACTAGAGTATAAGACGAGTTTTTCGGCACATTTTTTTTTTGTTCTGAAAAACCACCACTCGTCTTTTATACTCGAGTGAGGATCTGTATTATGGCAACTTACATTGCGATAATACAGACAAGGACCGCCGGGCTCATTACAAGCCCGGCAGTCCTGTTGGGGGCTGGCAGGAAGCGTTTACTTACCTTTCCTGCAGCTCCCGTCAGCTCCCTTCTCTCTCCTCCGGTCAGCTCCCCTGCAAGTCTCGCGAGAGCCGCGGACTCAGACCGCGAGACTTACAGGGGAGCTGACCGGACCGCAGGAGAGAGAATGGAGCTGACAGGAGCTGCAGGAAAGGTAAGTAAACGCTTCCTGCCAGCCCCCTTCTACACAGTGCACACCACTGGACCACCAGGGAATGAGCCCCCCTCCCTGGCCAGCTAACAAGCAGGGAGGGGGGGGGGTGAAAAAAAACAAACAAATTTAAATAAAATAACATACAAATATTAATATATAAAAATGCCCACCCCCACCAAGGCTCTGCATCACATACACACATACACACACACACATACATACACCCACACTCTGCACTCATATACATACACACACACACACAAACACACACACACACACACACACACTGCACTCATATACATACACACACACACACACACACACACACACACATCTATATATCTATATATCTATATATATATATATATATCTATATATATATATATATATATACACACACACTCTGCACTCATATATATATATACATACATAAACAAACACACACACACTCTGCACTCATATACATACACACACACACACACACACACACACTCTGCACTCATATACATACACACACTCATATACACACACACACGCACTCTGCAATCATATATACACACACTCTGCATTCAAATATTCAATTAATATAATTTTTGGGGGATCTAATTTTATTTATAAATTTACCAGTAGCTTCTGCATTTCCCACCCTAGTCTTATACTCGAGTCAATAAGTTTTCCCAGTTTTTTGGGGTAAAATTAGGGGTCTCGACTTATATTCGGGTCGACTTATACTCGAGTATATACGGTATATTATATTCATTCATTCATACATACATACATACATATACAATATGTTGGGAAACACATATAGAATAATATACATGTAAAGTATTCTAGCATATGTGGGGAAAAAATGTCTGACACTGTTTTCTTATCTGTAACTATTATTGGTAAAAATTATTTTTTTAAAAGCCCAATCAAAATTGTAATTTTGTTTCCAATAACCCCTTCACACTTGCACTTATGTATACATGATGGCCAGGTTATACGACCATACCCCGCAATCTTGTAAAAACGATGTGTAATTGCAATTTAAATTAGTTTATTGCAAATTATGTCATAACTGCAGTCTCATGGCTCACAACAGAGCGGCACAGGATGCTGCAACAATGCAAGTCTCTGAAGAGGAATACAGAGACTAGCTCTCTGTATCCAACGCTGCAAGCCCACCATTCAATATAGCTTCTTATACACACACACACAGCAACCCTACTTTTTTTTTTTTTTACTAATGGTGTTAGTGGGGGACTAATGTTTGTTTCGCCTAATGCCTCGTAAAGTCTAGAGCCACCCTTGAATGGGGTCTTGTCATTTCTAATGGTGTAACTTGATTTCAGCAGGAGATCAAGCTCTCGGATTCATAGACATGTCAACTTTGATTTGGCTATCTGGGGGAGGGGGCAAGGGGTCGTTTGTCTACGACGTGTATTGTGTCATGGATAGTTTTCATTCTTACTAGGATGACAGGCTGCCTGACACGGCAGCCAGTTGGGGCTGCTCAAGTGCTCTGAAACTCACCAGGCTGTGTGTAAACGGATAGCAGCTGTCCTATGAATGGTGCTCCTTTATATCGAATAGCAGTTCCAATCATCACGTAGGATGATTGGAACTGCTTAATAAACTACTTCTACCAAAAACCTTTGCTGGACAGAGGATTATGGGATTCTCTCAGGCCTCTTATACTAGAATGAGATCCACTTAAGTGAAACGTCTCATCCTAGGATGGTAACTTATTTTAATATTGGAGAACTCTTTTTATTATGCTGAATTCCTTCTGAAACCCTTTGCTCACAGTGTACGCTTGGAAAGGGGAAACAGACGAGGAGTACATCTGGTGTATTGAGCAGACCATTTTCTTTGCTGATGGGAAGCCTCTCAACATGATTCTTGATGATGGGGGTGACCTTACAAACCTCGTCCATACTAAATATCCTGAATTGCTGGCAGGTGAGTGTCCATAATCCTTTACTGTGATTTCTTTCTGTGGATGTTTTGGTACTTTCTTTTGAGAATAATTAATAATTTTTTTTTTTTCCAAGTACTGTAACGTTTCCTTTTCTTGTCAGTAGAGGGCAGTATTAATCCAGTGTGTTTGAAATTTTCTTTTTAAAGGAAATTTGTGAATTTGAAAAACTAATTGCAAAGCTGCATCTATTGCTGGATTTAGCCAAATCTATTTTTACCTAAGCTTTACAGTTTTAGGTGAATAAACCATTTTATATGGTCTACTGCTGTTTCTCAACTGCTCTGTACAGAGGCGCGCAATGCTTGAATTCCTTATAGAACCATTTTAAAGAAACACTCCGAGGGCAAAATGTAAAAGAATAATCTTAAAAATCACTATTTAGTACATGGGCATAACACACGCACAGTGACATTGGGACTTGGGCAGATCTCATATTAATTCAAGTTTATAAGAAAGGAAAATTAAAAACATTTTTATTTTTTTATTTTATTTCACTCCAGACAGCTTGTTATAGTGATTTAAGAAAATGTCCAAAGCATTACTAAGTTTGGGTCCAAACATGGGGAAAAAAAATACTCCAACTTGGCTACTCATCCTACTCTACTATTTTGGTCTAAAATAAAATCTTTTTTCCCACCCTTCCCCAGTTTCTGATAAAGGCAAAAATGTTGTAAAGTAAGTGACAGTCTTGCTAGCAAATGTAATGTTGAAAATACTGTATCTGCATTTACATACTCACACTACATCTGTCATGTCCTACCAGGCATTAAAGGTGTCTCCGAAGAGACCACCACTGGCGTGCACAACCTGTATAAGATGAAGAGCAATGGTACCCTCAAGGTGCCAGCTATCAATGTGAACGACTCTGTAACAAAGGTAAGGTGTGAAAGAGGAGATATGTGGATTATATCCAGCCATGGTTAACCTTTCACAGCACTTTGTACTTGTGCTTCTCCTAATGGTTGTGAAATGCATTTCACATTACGTGCCAGTTGTGGACCTGTAGTTACCGTGTATGGGCTGGTGTTGCATCATGTCAAATGCAGGTCATAATCACCACTTGTTTTTTTTTTTTTTTCCTGATCTGTGTGCCTTCAAACTCTGTTATGGAAATAATTAATTTATAAACATGCCTCCTGTCAGAATTTCCTTGGACATACCCTACTGTGCTGCATATAATTGCACCCTGGACTACAGTTAAATACATTCTCTAATTTCTGTATGTGTTGTGTGTTTTTTTTTGTTTTTTGTTTTTTTTTTGTTTCCCCCACCTCAGAGTAAGTTTGATAACCTCTACGGTTGCCGTGAGTCTCTGATCGATGGTATTAAGAGAGCCACTGACGTTATGATCGCAGGGAAGGTGGCAGTCGTAGCTGGGTACGGGGATGTTGGGAAGGGCTGTGCTCAGGCCTTGAGAGCCTTTGGTGCCCGTGTCATAATCACAGAGATCGACCCAATCAATGCATTGCAGGCTGCTATGGAAGGTAAGCCTGGAGTGTAACTATCAATGTTTGGGGCACCTCAATGTGGTGAATCTGAAACTCTCTATAGCAGTAGGTAACACAATACAGTCGTTACTATTCACGGTTTCTTCTTCTGTGACTATGTATGGCAAAATTTTCTGCTCCTCTTAACAATGTCTGTAAAATTGTTAATAGCCATTTACAAAGATATATCATCATAATGACCATAACTAATGAAGATAATGTTGGTATTTTCTGTAAAAGTCTACATTTTGCTTGTTGAAGGTTTGTTATAACCGGTCACTAACTCCCTAGGTTATGAGGTCACTACCATGGATGAAGCTTGCAAAGAAGGCAATGTTTTTGTTACCACAACAGGATGCTCAGATATTGTAGAAGGAAGGTAAGAAAAATAAAAATATATAAAATACCCTGTGGTTGGATACTTACTTGGCAGGGGAAGGCCTACCTATTGAGTGTTGGCAGTGGTCTCTAGAGCTATTTGTGGTCCATACCTAGGTCCGTTTTAACTGTTGTACTATCTTTAGGAACCGCTGTATAACTACAAGAATTTTCACTGACTATTAAGGGATTAAATGTGATCAGTCCACCTTGACAGCAACATAACATATATTACTTATTTTTTATTTTTGTCGACTGTTTCTTTCAAAAGCACAAGTTGTAAAAGGATTCTGGAGAGGATCTCATCTTGTTAAATCTATTCTCACAGGCATTTTGAACAAATGAAAGATGATTCCATTGTGTGCAATATCGGGCACTTCGATGTCGAGCTTGATGTAAAGTGGTTGAATGATCACGCAGCGAAGAAAGTGAACATTAAGCCACAGGTACCTCTCTGAAACCAACAATGTCTTATCTGGATGCCATACATGCATAGCTAAATAAAGTAAAAAATTAAGATATTTTTTTTTTTTTTTAAATTTAATATGAGCGACCTGCTTTTCAGAATCTGTTGACTTAATTATTAATAATTGTGTAGTTATTACATTTAATTAAAGCACCTCCTCACCCTGCAGGTGGATCGTTACCTTTTGAAGAATGGAAGACACATCATCCTACTGGCAGAAGGGCGTCTGGTTAACTTGGGGTGTGCTATGGGTCACCCCAGCTTTGTTATGAGTAACTCATTCACCAACCAGGTCATGGCTCAGATTGAACTCTGGACCAACAATGATAAATATCCTATTGGTGTCTATTTCCTGCCTAAGAAGGTAAGACCTATCTTAACACTGAATTTTTACCTTTGTGTTGATTCCTGCCACATGTACTAGTGATGGTGTTTTAAACCTATACCACCTCCATGTTAAATGCAAATAACTTGTCTGACATGCTACAAAGTTCAAAATATCCCAGAATTTCCTGATCTTAGACTTGCAATGAGATCATGGGTAATAATGACCGATGTAGCTGTGGGAAATACATTTCGAGGCACAACCTCTATATTTTACAGTAGCTTCTGCTGCACACCTAACCCTAGTAAATGGACTCTCCAGTGCCAGGAAAACAATCAATTTTCCTGGCAGTGCAGGTCCCCTCTCCCTCCCACCTCCCATCCCTGGTTGCTAAGGGGTCAAAACCCCTTCAGTGACTTACCAGAGGCAGCGCCATGTCCCACGTCGCTGCTTCTTCCTCTGCTCACGCTCCTCCCCTTCATCACGTCAGCCGGCGAGGGAGACCTAATGCGTGGCACCAATGCCGCGCAGGCGCACAAGACCTCTCCATAGGAAAGCATTGAAAATGCTTTTCAATGCTTTCCTATAGGGATTTTAGCGACGCTGGAGGTCCTCACACAGCATGAGGACGTCCAGCGACGCTCTAGCACAGAAAACCTGTGCTAGAATCCCGGAAGTCCCCTCTAGTGTCTGTCTGATAGACAGCCACTAGAGGAGGAGTTAACCCTGCAATGTAATTATTGCATTTTATAAAAACTGCAATAAATACACTTGCAGGGTTAAGGGTAGTGGGAGTTGGCACCCAGACCACTCCAATGGGCAGAAGTGGTCTGGGTTCCTGGAGTGTCCCTTTAATAGTGTGTTAGATCTTTCTCCAATGCCGCACTTTTAGTCCTCTTCACCAGCAAACCTAGTATTTAACTGGGCCCTCCAATAATGACTAATTACTCGCCCGAATGCCAAAATCAAAGAACTACTAATGATGAAAATCTTTGGCAGAAACTGTAGCATTTTTTTACTTTCGAAGACCCGCACATACCCGAGCCTGTATATACAGCAGCTGGCGGGTAGATTTTAATAAAGTGCACCTAGTGTTATTGTACATTTAATTGAGTGGCACCCTGCCTCTCGTTTAAATTGTTTTTCTGTGCTTAGCCAGAGGCAGAACATGACAAACCACAAAAACTCCTGCTGTCCTTGTCAAACCGCATCTGGTTGTAGTGCTGTAAAACTAACTTGCTGTAAATGACACCGGAAACCTAACTAAAACTTTTTTTTTTAATATCCTTTACAGCGGAGGGAAGAAAGAGGGGTAATTGGAGGATATGGGTATAGATGGATTTGTAAAGTAAAAATTCTGCATTGTCGTGTGTGTGTGTGTGTGTGTGTGTGTGTGTGTGTATATGTGTGTGTATATGTATGTGTGTATGTATGTGTGTGTGTGTGTGTATGTATATATAATTTTCTTTTTTTTTTAAATCCAACTTAATTCCTTAAATTGACGCAGGCTTTCTTGAAATCTTCTTCTTTTTCATTAATCGTCACTTCACGGTTATTCTTTTGAATGTACGGCCTTCTATAAAGTATTTCTTTCCCACCTTGAGGTTGTGTCTCAGTTCTAGTTTTACTCTCCCCTAGGAATTAACTTTTTTTTTTTTCATTAAATAAAACGTAAACTGGCCTGCTAATTGGTATTTGAAAAACTTTTTTGTCCGTACTGATATTTGAGGTAACTGTAGGATTTGTTTACAGAAGGTACAATCGGTGTAAAATGTATGTGGCTTCAAATCTCTGTAGTGCAAGAACATATTATGTGCAGTGTATGTTGGGTTCCTGCTGACTGTAACGGGTGGATTATTTATCGGAGTCTGACCAACATTGTATTTTTTTTTTTTCTTTGCAGCTTGATGAGGCTGTGGCTGCTGCCCACCTGGACAAACTTGGTGTGAAGCTCACCAAACTTTCTGACAAGCAGGCCAAATACCTTGGTCTTGATAAAGAAGGTCCATTCAAGCCTGACCATTACAGATACTAAATCTTCTAAACTGACCCAAAGATCAATGAGAAAACCGTTTTCTAAGAATCAATACCTCCATATGCTTTTATTTGGACATGTGGTTGATGAGGACCCTCTACTAATGAACCTGCTCTCTTCCTGTTCAACTGTCTCGCGATGTGCTAGGTTTTTGGTTCCCTCAAGGATAAAACAAAAATTTGGTATTTTTTGTTTTGTGTTCATTTGTGAATTTTTCCAAAGGCCACCTCTAGGTAGTTTGATTCTCCAATGAAACATCCTTCTATAAAAATGGAAGACTTTTTGTGTAATTTGTCTTTGTTCAGTTGCTTCGTTTTACCTAGGTCTACTCATTTCCTTGCTTACTCTATTAGAGTTTATATATCACACATTTTATTATAATCTGCTCTTTCTATATGTGCGTTAGGAAACTTGCATTATACTAACATATGTTGACACCCCACCTACCTAAAGTATGGTAGTGAAACCCAGAACCACACTGGGTAGTGAAATAATTATATAAAACCTTTTCTGAGTAATATTGCAAATTATTTAAACTAATTTCTACATTACTCAAATAAGTCTAGTAATTAAAGGTTCACTCAAAGTACAGTAACCAGTGTTGCCCTCACACCGTAAGCGGTCAAAGTGTTCTCAGTGTGATTTGACAACTTACCTTAGTTCTATGGAGTAGGGATGTGCATGGGCAAAAGTTTCAATTTGGCGGTTCGCTTCGGCACTTCTGAAATTTGGCAATTCCCTAACCCTACTAGGGTTAGTGGAAGGTTGGTGTGAAGGTCAGATTCCTGTCATCGTTCCCTTAATTTTCCCTCCCTCTCCTGTTTTGCAACTTTTCAGAAATCTGAACCACTTCGGCACTTTTGCAATTTGGACATTAGGAAGCATCCGAATGTTTGAATTGTCAAAATTCATCAGAATTTAAATTCAGAGCAAAACAAATTGCACATGTCTACTATGGAGTGCCTAGGTCACATCTAGTCTTCTACATCACGGGAAGCCCAATGTTTCTATAAAGCATGAGTGCTGGGCCATGCTGATTGGGTGAACGTGTCTGGCCTTGTTCTTTTGAGCAATCTGGCATTAACATATTTTGCAATTATTAAACCATAATCCTATTGCTTGCCAGATTTTTCTTTAACCAACTATGAAGCAACTTCTGCAGAGCTAGAGCAAATACTGGAACCAAGTACATTTTAACAAGTCAACCTTTGAGCAGTCTTGCAACTACATCTCAGCCAAGGTAAATAAAGTTTAAAGGTGATGACTTAAACAAATAAAGCTATGCAGAGAAACAGAACGTGAACCCTTTTGGTAAAAGACATTCCAAAACAGGCTGCAATTAAACAGGAGGTTAAAAGAAGAGGGGTAGAAAAGATTTGGGGGGGGGGGGGTTTTGTTTTTTTTTGGCTTGCAGGCTCCCAGTTCTTACTAGAAAGACAAATGGGGTTGGTGGTGAAACATGGCTTCTCTGCATGTTCTATTGTGCCACTAAATGCACACGTGATCTGAAAAAAATCTTAGTGACTTATGAGCAGCTGGTCTCTTCTCCAAATGCCTCCCCATGGAGTATGACTTAACCACCCCCCCTCCCCCAGGGCCTGTAGAGAAGAGCATTACCCACCCACACTAACTTATGTCTGTGGGTGAACGATTGGTGAGGTGTGTTGCACTAGGGCAGGTGTAGATTACCTCTGGCACTCCAGATGCTATGGACTACGTATCCTCTGATGCTTTACCAGCAATGTGGCTGAAACTCTCTTCCCTCCTCCATTAGATGCTCACCCAGTCTCCACTCCTTCAAAAAAAATCATTAGAAACCCACTTCTTCACAAAAGCATATCAATTAAACTGTTAACTGTTGGTGCTATATAAATAATATAATAAAGAGCATTATGGGAGATATAGGAAACCAAAACATCTAGAGTGCCAAAGGTTGAACAACTTCCGATCTATATTGATGGCATACCAAAAACTGTTTTGATTGAAGGGGTGAGAAAAGAGCAGAAAAGAAGTGAAGACCTGGAAGGTAAATATGGAGATAAATGGGGCAGAGAAGCTGGAGGTTAAATAGTGGCATGAAGACTGAGGAGCTATAGACCATATGACTACAACGTCCTCCTGTCTAGGCATCCACATTGCATACTTTTAGCTCTTTAACCTGGATGGAAGTCACAGACATCTGCTCCTCTTCACTGATTTTGCTAGCAAACATTAATGTGGTCTCAAGACTGCAGGTTAATTATGACTATCCATTGATCATTTCATGGAGTGTCTACAAAGTGGTCATCATTGGTGGGGAGGAGGCAGCGTGCTTAGGGTAGTTGTTCTGGTGAATATAGCCTGCCATTACAGCCATTTTCATGTTTGTGTTTACATCGCTGCCTAGGGATACCTCTAGTGGCAGTCACTCAAACAGCCACTCTAGGTGCTTCCTGCATCAGTGCTGCGCACTCTGCATAGAGGCGTTAAACTTTCCTCAGAGATGCATTGATTCAATGCATCTCTTTGAGGAGATGCTAAATGGCCAGCATGGGGTGTGCCTCCGCCCCCTCCTCTTTGGCTGAGATAATCAGAATTGACAATCTCTGCCAATCCAATGCGATTGGCTGAGATCATCAGAATTTACGATCTCATTCAAACACCGAATGTGACGGCAAATAACCATTTGACCCATCTAATCTGGCCAATTTTCTTAATACTTTCATTAGTACCTAGCCTTATCTGACATCTTGGATAGCCTTATGCCTATCACACGCATGCTTAAACTCCCTCACTGTGTTAACCTCTACCACTTCAGCTGGCAAGCTGTTCCATGCATCTACTACCCTCAGTGAAGTAATACTTCCTGATATTACTTTTAAACCTTATGTCATCTTGTTGTGGTAGTTTTTCTTCTTTTAAATATAGTCTTCTCCTTTACGGTGTTGATTCCCTTTATGTATTTAAATGTTTCTATCATATCCCACCTGTCTCGTCTTTCCTCCAAGCTATACATGTTAAGATCCTTTAACCTTTCCTGGTAAGTTTTATCCCGCAATCCATGAACCAGTTTAGTAGCCCTTCTCTGAACCCTCTCTAAGGTATCAATATCCTTCTGAAGATATGGTCTCCAGTACTGCGAACAATACTCTAAGTGAGGTCTCATCAGTGCTCTGCACAATGGGTTTTCTGTGCTTTAGCCTCTTTCTACTGCTAATATCCTATAGTGTCACTTTAACAAAAGTTGTAGATGATACTAAATGTTTTACATAATGGTGTCTAAACCTGCATATCAATCAGAATGAGTCGGTTGATTACATAACCCAGAGCTTTTTATTAATTTATCATCTTCCCCCGCTTTTTATTTAAAATTGTTAAAAAAAAAAAATCTACTGCATGATTATAAACATGGTGGTCTGCAGAGATGTAGCATAACTTTTCAAAATTGGTGCCCATGCAGTGGGATAAGCTGCCATTCAACTATCCTGACCACTGGGTAAATATTGGAAGTATTTAAAAAAAAAAAAAAAAAAAGTAAAACTTAGTTCCTTACCATTTTTTTTTTTTCCAGCGCCATGTGGTTGTGCCATGGCTGTACAGCACTGGACTAGGAAGCACCTCTAATGGCCGTTTGAGTAATTGCCACTTAAGATGTTCCGAGGCAGCAGTGTAAACACTGCTTTTTCACTGTGTTCTCTTACAGTGCTCAGCCTGCAGAGAAATTCTATAGATACCAGAACTACTACATTAAGTTGTAGTGGTTCTGGTGACTATAATGTCCCTTTAAAAAAAGAAATAACAAAAAATCCTCATTACGCAATAATTAAATGTTGAACCATTTATAAGAGAGAAAAAGAGCTAATAAGACCGAATTTACAGCATTAAAAGGAAGAATTTGTTAACAATTTTTAAAAAGTGCTCTATTGTCTAGAAAACATTGTATATTTATGGTCTTCGTGATCTGCGCCTTGATGTGCGCTTTTACACACATGCATTGTATTCACATTTCCTGAAGCACATGGTGACCTGTGGGAGGATTTACTTTGCACGTCATTTAGGTCTTGCAAGAATTGGCTCAGTTGCCTATGACTAACAGGCTTTAAATTATTGAATTAAGGATAACGTGTCTAGAACATGGGTTTCTATAAATCCAGACGGGGGTCTGCTAGTGTGACTAAGAACATCACAAAGATCTATTGTTTGTGGACAATGTGTATCAGCTGTTGTTTTCGGAACGATCATACACATTTCAAATTTATTTTAAAATGCTTTTTTTCCCCACTCTAATATTTTATGAAGAACAGTCATTTAAAGAGCTTGTCATACAGTATATCAATATGTACATAAAAAAATGTGCCTTGTTTTTTCCTTATTAAAGGGAAATGACACTCCCTTAAATCGAATCCAGGTTCCTAATTCTTTTTTAAGTTCAGGCTCATTAAAATCTCCTTCTGTGCCTTCAAAGTACAGTGAGCTCAGGTCCCGACAGGTTAGGGAAAGGTAAGTAATAATGATTAGAGGGTCCTTTATGTGAAATTCAGTTTGGACCCAAACGTGGTACTTTCAGCTAGTGGTAAACATAGTATATTATGCCCAAATATATACGTGACTATTTTTTGGTTTTTGGTCCATGTTGTGCTATAACCCATTTTAGAGAAGTATTATAATCCCACCGGGCCAGAGGCTGGTTACAATTTTTAAACAGAGCAAAAAAAAAAAAAGCTAAATTATGGTTCCGGGGCCCCTGTCTAACCCCTGGGCCCTTGGGATGGCTAAGATTACCTAATTGCAAAATGGCTTCCAGTCACTACAATTTCAGAATTCAAACAAGCTCCCTAGTGAGATGGTAGTAGCTATAAAACAAAATACAGGCAAATGTAAAACTAAAGGCTTATGGCCTTAGCACTAGATATAGACATGTAATCAATGTGCCCATAGGGCAGACAAGTTGCAGGCTGGACCCTAAGTACAAAGGCACATGCATGTATTGGTGGCAGAATATAAATTTCAGGCTCCAGTCCCATGTTTTACATAGGTAAACCTGAGAACAACATAGCTGAGGGTCAGCATGGCATTATATGGGTTTCCAGGTTCTAAGGCAGTTATGCTACCACACCTCTAACCAGCTGATATATAAATCCCAAACGGACGCACAGCCATTTTGGAAAGCAACTCCACAATACCACCAGTGACGTGCTTTGTATCACAAAGCACCTGCTTGTGCCCTGCCCATTTCCTCTCCTGCTTGCATACACCCCAATGTTGCTATATAAGGCACTGGGTATGCTTACATTCCACTTACATATTGTTCTAACACGCTCTAGAGCAGGGGTGCCCAAATGGGGGATCCACAGATATTTTCAAACTACATCTTCCATGGTGCTTTGTTATTCTAAAGGCATGCAAAGCATCATGGGAGTTGTAGTTTGAAAACATCTCGGTATCTACCTTTTGGGCACCCCTGCTCTAGAGGTTTGATGCAAGATTCAAGCTTATATAAAGTACTCAATGTCAATAGAGCAGCCGTGAAGCCGGGTGCCTGCATAGTCAATTTTCTTTAACATGGATGACAACAATGGTTGTCATTTAGCTGGTTAGCCCATTAATCTCAGCCTTTTACTTCTATCCATGTTTGACAGGATTTATACTGATAATGCGTAAGTATAAAATCCACGTTATCAAGTTAGTCGGATAGCGGTGATCTCTGTCAGGAGAGGGCCCTGTTTTTGTCGACCTGCTCTCAAATGGGTTGACAAAAAAAAGATGGAGGTTGTCCCAATACACTGAGTTCCGCAATATTATTCTCATTTTGGGTGACTTCTAATAAGCCTTACTGTTTTCTTTCTTTTTTTCTTTTTTTTTTTTAAACGCATTGTCAGTTACATTGTGTGGTTATGGCATTTAACGAGTTACATGATTCAATACAAAGACATAATGGTACAGACGGTATGTTGCACTTTTTTTTTTTTTATGCAAAGGAAATAAACAGGCTTATCAGAAAAGTCGTCATGGCATCTAAACAGGAGTTATGCAAGACAAGTTAGCATTAGATTAGCATAATAGCTTTAACTGAGGATACATATCATGGCTAGTCAGACATGGCGCCGTGAGTCAGTATCGATTTATGTTGACATGCTAGTATTCATATATAGGTGTTTTCTTACTTCACAGTTACTGCTTGTGCTCAGTATCTTTTTAATCACTGTTACTGTATGTTTTCGTTTTCTAAAACAATTGATACAAAATTATTATTTAATTTTTTGGGGCAGAATTTTGAGTTATTAGCATATTTTAATTAACCATAATTTGCTTCTGGTAATTATTAAAAAAAAAAAAAGGCTTGGCGCACAATTGTGTATTGAAAGAAGTAATCATAATTTTTAATGTAATAAAAAATAATTAGATGCTAAAGCATATTTTCATAATGGTAACATTGTGAACTTAGATGAATTGCACATGTAACAACTGTACATTCACCACAAATCTCCTCCAGGTTTAAAGCTTTAGAAATGTAGCCCCTTTATCTCCCCTTCTCTATAATTTCTTCTGCAGCTGGTTGTTTCAGGCAATGAACAGCATGACATATATTAATGTATTAGAAATATAACTGGTCACACACTCACTGACACACACACACACACACGTCACTTACACCATCACACACACACACACACACACACACACACACACTCTTACTGACAAACACACACATACACACAAACAAACACTATGTCACATTCTCACTAACACACACACACACTCTCACTGAAATACACACACACACACACACACAATGTCACTCACACCAGTTTACATATAGTCAGTTTATTAAAACACACACCCACAAACAAACTTAACACACCAATGTTCAAACATACACACAATAATAACCAGCTCCCCTTATCCTCCAGTGATGCCATACCTGTGCTAGTGATGTGACTGGAGGAGAAGGGGACCATCTTTCAGCCTGCAGGTATCTGCCCTGGTTCCTGGGGGGGCAGGAGAGCAGTGCACAGTGAGCACAGGCTGCTTCCTGCTCCCTTCACTGTGCTTCCTTTTATCACAGGCAGGGGGCAGCCGGGATACCAGGTCACATCCCAGCTTCCCCTGCCTGCAGGAAGCACAGTGCTCTGCTCGGGTGCTGGGGATTCAACAGACCCCCTCTCCCTGAGCAGATGATCGGCTCTGCAGCATCAGGGAGGCAGAGGGAGCACAGGATATGGCTGCGCTGGGGTTTGGCTAAACAGCCACTTACCCAGCGCTCCGACCCCAGGCAAGAGAAGCCCGCTGCCCACCCACAGGAGCAGCCCACCCAGAAACCTCCAGGTGGGCGCCCCCTTCAGGTCGGCGCCCCAGGCGAATGCCTAATTCGCCTTAATGGTAGCGCCGGCCCTGCCTGCAGGGGCAGGCTATACTCACCAGAACAACTACATTAAGCAGTAGATGTTCCAGTGACTATATTGTCCCTTTAATTTGTAATTTGAAAATCTGCCAAAATTGTATATTACATCCTTCAGTTCATTTAATAATGGCCTAGGCTAGGGTGTTTCAAAGTGATTTTGATGTCATCTGCATGCAAGTAAATCTATAATTGGCCCAATATAAATGTAAAACCTTTGATATGTAGATTATTTGCAATTTCCCATCGGGGAAGTTCTATAGATAAAAAGAGGGTATAGGGGCAGGCTTTCCTGGTGCCATTTCCTATGTTAAACCAATCTGTATCTATACTTAGGCAGATAGTTCTTGCTGAAGGCCCTTTGTGTATAAGGCTTTTATGGCATCCAACACAAAAACTGAAAACCATCTAGGAAGTTCCAACTGTCTAAGGCCTTTTTGACGTCCAGTGACAGGGTCGGTAATGACACTCCCGAGGAACGTACCACATCTAACACATTTATCATCCTTCTTATATGTTTCAAAAGTTATCTAGCTGGAACAAAACCCACTTGAGCCACAGGGGCTAACATAGGAATTATCCATTTTAATCTGTTTGCACGAATAGAAGTGAATATCTTTGTTACCGCATTTAAAAGTGAAATGGGATGATAATTCAATACTTTTTTGTGGTCTTTATCTTGTTTCAATGTAGGAATGATTTTGGCCACTGCACCAATTGATCTTTAAAAATCTTGTAACACATTTTGGTAATTTCTGTGATTTACCAAATTTTAAACTGTCAATAATTCTTCTGATGTCTTCTAGCTTTAACGGTTGGTAGAGTTTGTTTAATTGTTCTACCGATAGTTTGTGGAGTTCTCTACCCTTAAAATAGTCTCTTCGTTTTCTAAAACCATTGATACATAATTAATTATTTTTTTTGGCAGAACTGTGTTATTAACATATTTTAACTTACCATAATTTGTTTCTGGTAATTATTAAAAACAGCTTGGCATACCCACAAGCAATGTGTATTGAAAGAAGTAATCATAATTTATCATATAATGAAGAAATAATTAGAAGATAAAGCATATTTTCATAATGGTACTTAGATGAATTGCACATGTAACAAATATACATTCACCACAACTCCCCTCCGGTTTTAAAGCTATAGATATGTAGCCCCTTTATCTCCCCTTCTCTATAGTTTCTTCAAGCAGTTATCGTCTGCACGATCTAATCAGAACTGAGGAGGCTACAGGTGGTGATGGCACACACAGAGGCCTCTGAGTAGGATATTCTGGATCTGAAGCAGGAAGTAAAGGGTCTGAAGGAAGCTGTACACCAAACGAGTACAACGAGAGTGGACCTGGTAGAGGACCGTAATAAGCACCCAATATTAAAATCTGGGGAGATACCTGACACTTTTGACCCGACCGAACTGCCCCACTATCTTCGATGCCTTACAGTCTCACAAATACCACACGCTCAAGTCAAAAAAAATCATGCTGGAAACCTAGATAAGCACCACCTACAGCCTCTCAAGATGTCACTATTCGGTGCCACTCCTTAACTGATAAAAACAGAATCCTGGTTGCAATACAAGGAAAGACCACGCTTGCCTTTGAGTCGTTCTAACTAACCTTCTACCAAGGAACAGGGGGAAAGAGTCAGCGCTAAATAACACACTAAAAGGCAGCAACCCAAAAAAGGGAATCCCTCAAGACCCTTTAAAAACAAGATAAAAAGATGCAAAGGAGGTGAGGGCTGCACCTAAGGCTAGTGTCAGTAGTCTATGACAATAAACAACCAGACCAAATGGTCTCAATAAAGATACAACAAACAAATAGGCCTATGTAGGTAATAGAACAGTAAAATGTTTGATGGGACAATAAAATAAAATAAGTTAAAATGAGGGAAGTCTCAGGAGTTAGTTCATCAGGATAATAAAGTGTTAAAAGTCAGGTAAAAAGTCTCTCTATATACCGGGATGGGGGGGGAGTTGATCCGTCCGGATGGTTAAAATATCCGTCAGGAGCAGGCAGCGCAGGTTCAGGAATGTATAACAGGCAGATAGGTCAAGGGTCAGATGAAGGCAGGATTCACAGAAGTGTATATATCGAAGGGCACGGTATAACTGAACACTGAGGTAGGGGTAGACTGAGATTATATAGGGAAGAGGTATCCATCTCTCACATACTATTGGCTAAAAAGTAATTAGTCCCTTTAAACAATTTCAGGTGTTCTGTCCCTTTAAGAGCCGGCTTTCGGGCGCATGCGTACCTAGCATAAATGGAATTCACACGTGGGTTCAACTGGGGCATCCCTCGGGCCACGGCGAGGGACCTCCAGGTTAGTGCGGTCGTGATAGGTCCCTGACATCCCTAGGGTTGTCTTTAAATAGAAAAAAATTCTGGTCACAATTATATGTCTCAGATGCACTTACTTGGCTCTGCGGTCGACACCCACGCCGCTTATATAATCCACACTAAGCACTGAAACATGCGCTCTGCAACATCTATGCATGGCTAGCAAATTGTACAACTTTCCATCTTCTAGACTACCGTAGAGCTGCTCCATACATGACCAAAAATAGATAACCAACTCTATACTTCACTCAAAATGTTCAGCTAGGATTAGGACCTGCCAACGCTGCGCAGCATTATCTTCATGCAACATCCCACAAAGGAGAAGGCATTGTCTTTTACAACTTGTATCACTTAAGTCTAGACAGTTTAGGATTACACGAAAGAGACATCTCTCATACAGTTACGGCCTGTCCCTGTCTTATTTGATGTTGTTCTCTATTTCATTATGGATTTTACTATCCAAAATGAGGTATAAAGGAAAAGAGTGTTTGTCCCTTTAAACTTGTTAGCAAATATTTGCGATTGCTCACGCACTCATTGAATTGCCTGTATGTCACGCTTCACCTCAATAAAACAAATAATTAAAAAATCCATATATATATATATATATATATATACACACACAAATATACAAACATCTCTTTGGTGACCTCTTCATTAACAGAAGAGTACAAAGGACACAAAACAATCCAATGATACTTGAAGACTGGAGATTTTGCCTACAGCAATCAAAAGGATTCCTTATAGCATGAAAAATAAAATGTGGACATTGCCTATAAATGTTGCTCTACCAAATTCAATATATATCTTTAAGTAAGGTCCAGATGCTTTTTTACAAAACTTAATATGCAGGGATTTTAATGAATACTTTAATGTACATTATTAACAGCTTGTAGACTGACATTTTTTAAAGTGTAGACACTTAAACAAAAAATGTTTCTGTCCTTTATGATGATATAACAGTAAAAATACACATTATTGTACAGCACTGCGGAATATTTTGGCACTGTAGAGATCATTGTACTTGCAATTATTAATAAATTGTAGTCACATTTTTTCCCCTTTTTAATACACAATTAAAAAGCTCTTCAAATAGGATGTTTGTTTAAGAGAACACACAACAATATGTGAAAGGTTAAAGAAACAATATAATCTCCCAGACCACTTCATCTCAAGTATCCCTGTCCTCTCATCCCCACAGTGTAATATAGTGCAGTTTTTTTGATAAATGCAACGTTTGCATTGCAGGGTTGAGTCCAATCCTTGGGGACATAAGTATGATGGCTTCTGCTGCACCGGGTGAGTAAAGCTTGGTCAGATAATGCAAAAGCCTGGTACTCATTGCGTTTGGACATTAGGTCCTCATTGCTCATCTTTATGACAATTGGATTGCACATCGGAGGAGGAGGCCATGCCTCTTCCAAGATGTCACTGGAGGCTCACAGGTAAGTAGCCACAAGAGAGCTGGAAAAAGATACATACATTTAAAAAAACATTTTTTTTACAGCAGATGGATGGATGGCGACACTATAGAGTTAGGAATACAAATTCAAATGTTTTTGAAAGTTTTTTCTTAACCAATATTACTGCACAACAATGTAACAACTGGCGGGTCAATAAGAAGGTGAATTGGTAACATTCATATTTGGGCATATGGCAATAAAAAAAGCCTTAGGTAGACTCAACAAAAAAAAAAGGCATTTGGGGGAGACCCCAACACCTGATCAGTTACTGTAACATTGTACACCCAGTAACATGAGAGACAACGATAAGCACAAAACCTTATTTAGGGTTATGGGACAAGGGAGCTCTTTCTTACAGCTATATCATTAGACAGTTTTGCCAGCACTTACACTGTGAAGAAATTGACCTACCTGTCTAACAGATTGACCCCGTGATATTGAGATTTACCAACTGCCCATTAGACCGGGATTAAATAGAGATATGCTCTTTTGTTTTTATAGGGGGGTGGGGGGTCGGTCTTTTATTAACCCCTTATCTCCCACTCAAGAGTGTCACCGATTTATACAGCAGATTTTTCAGCTGAGAATCCAGAATATAGGTTGCTAAAGACAAATGTAGGATTTTGGGAAAGAACGTACATTACGATCAGCGATATAATCACTCTGAAGCAAAACATCAGGAATGGATCATCTCTTTGTACACTGTGGCTAGATGTCACTGTCAGGGCACACATGAATTCACCCCATTTTCTTACACAAAAGCAAATACTTGAAATGTAAATCTTCAGCTCATTTACGTAAAACCTTCTTTCATGTTACCGAAAGATCTATTTTTGAGGAAAGTCTGGTGGAACGGATAATTCAGACCATGTTTTTAAGTTCTGGGGTCTCTAGATTTCCTTAGAACTAAGGCTCTGTTTTGTGTTAGGTTGTTGAAGTCTACTTGTGTTCTGCACTTTCTTAATCTCCGTTTGAGCATGGTGCTCATCTCCACTTGGGTCGATCTGGTTCTTCTCAATGTCAGCCTGTCACTGGAGCTCCTGCAATATGGAGAGAATGTGTCTTCAGATGTCCAGAGCAAGACTCTTTAGTTCACCATCTCTCTGTATGACGTATCAGAAAAACAAAAACAAAACACCACATGTGATGCTTAGTAAAATAATAGCTTATGGGCTTTGTTTGGATTGTGAAAGTTCTGGCACACAGAGAGTCAAGCAGTTTTCTTACACAAACTACAGTAATGTCTCACGTTGAATAGCGTAGGACTAATGCATGCTACCTGAAGATTAATTGTCAGTTTCTTGTAAAATTGATTCAATCTCAACACCACCAGTGGGTATGAGTGGCTTGCTAACGTTTTTTGGGGCATATAGTTGTCATCACTAGTTTTATAGAATTATTTTATAGAACTCTGAATACCAAATCAATGTGCTTTTGCAACTATCAATGTTTTGACATGCTTCCGTAGCTAAAACTTTATAAGGGGTAAAATTTCGTATCTCAGTGAGACTATTTTGTGGCTTGAAGAGCTTTGTATTTTACCAAATGATTATGAAATACATATATAAAGAGTTAGAAATGTAGACTACCAAAGTTAAAAAGTCCAGGGCTGGGTTACTAGCAGAAAACTATACATATGGCCACTATAAAACTAGGAGCTAGGCGGATTCCATAATGTCAGGTGAATTACCTCATTATCTAACACGCTTCTCTCTTCTTCCATCTACCCGTGCCCAAAAAGTTGCGTTTGATGGGTTTCGTCACATCAACAAATCTTCAATCTCCTCATCAGCTTTCCATGATTTAATTGTCCAATAAAAGTCGTACAGAGCAAGACAACTCATGCCTTCAAATTCTCTAATCTCACCTTTTTCCAGGACTAGATCCACATTACAATGGAGGAGATATTTGAGGCCAGTCATTCGCCAACTCAGAGAAGCTGGGGTGGAAATCCGGTGGTCTGCACGGAGATCCTTGACTGTTGTCAGGGATGGCTCCGTCTTGCAATTGTCTCTGACTGAGGCCACAGCTGTCCTCAAGGCATTGGGCCTT